AGTGTTTTCTTGATAGGAAAAAATATAATCAATTTATAAGTTTAACATACAGAAAAAGCCCCAGGAATGGGGGATTCTGGATAACAAAATGTCAGTTAATTGAGTGGCCCTGGCCACTGGTTCTCACGCCGTGTCTGGGGCATCCTTCTGCCCCTCCTGCGGCATTGCTGCCACTCCTGTGGGGCCACAGGGCCCCGCGTGACAGTGAGGCAGGTCCTGCACAGCCTGTTATGCCTCCAGGCCACAGTGGGCACTTCTGGTTTTACTTTATCTTACAAGCCGGCATGACAGTTAGTGGAGCATACCGGCATATAAGATGCCCGATAACAGAACTTCTACTGTATAATGTATGCATCTTGGCAGTCAATGCAACTCAATGGAAAAGGTTTCCATGTTTGAAAAATTCTGTTCGACAAACCCTACTAAATAAGGCTGGCTTGTGTTTTCTCAACTTTTTCCTTGACAGTTTCACACCAGACATTCTATAACTGAGCAGATGACTAGAGATTTGGAGAGCAGAATCATATTCTGAACTATGATTGTGCCTTTCTCTTCTCTGAAAATGGTAGATTTTGCAAAGGCCTTAAACTATATTTAAAAACAAATGTCTCCCCTTTTTGCTGACCAACCTATTAACTGATTTGACATGCATCTAAAAGATGATGAAGGAATATATTCTAGTTTTCTATAAGGACAGTGTATTTTGGAAAGGAAAATATACATTGTGCTCTCATTACAGCATTTCATGGTAAAACAATTCTAGCATCTTATAAACAGAATTTGCTAGTGAGAAAATATTTGAATTGACAAGGTTCAGTTAGACTGTTTGTTTTTAATTTAGACTTTGGTCTGTGAAAAATTGTCTTTAAAAGCAGAGAGGCTAGGTGATTTATACAGGCAACAGTGATGGTAAAGTCTGTATAAATTACAGGTTTCAGCAAGTCAGTGCTCTTGTGTCATTTTATTAGACATTACTTTTGGAACTTTAATTATAGCCTATTTTGTACATAAATGGTAACCTGCTTTTACTTGTTGAGACTATCTTAATCCACATCTTCAAGGGTTGGGTGCCAGGGAAAGCCTATAGTACAAAAGCAAGTTTATACCAGAGTCCCTCAAGCCAAACTCACTACATCCTGTCTTAGCTGCTTCTCAACATGACAGGGAACTAGTGAGCAGTAAGCTTGTGCCAACAGTCCTAGCTTCACCAGGATTTTTCTTCAGCAAACAGGTTTGTGTTTATAGAAAACCAAAGTAAAAATAACATGCTAACTGAGGGAAAAAAAACAACATTTGAGGTCAAAAGAACAGTTCTTGGGTTTTAGTAACTGTGTGTGGTATATAAAGGAACTGATATTAAGCCAAGCTGAAGTTGAGTTTGGTCTTGAAACTTCATCATGTGGGCAACTTGGAAGAAGTGGAAATAGAAGAATCTGATTTTAAATAATTCAACTTCTACAGCATTAGAAAAAAATGTAACTGTCTTGTTACAGCTTTTGATAAATGGACACTGACATGGACTACGAAAGACCCAATGTTGAAATCATAAAATGTGTGGTGGTTGGTGATAATGCAGTGGGGAAGACTCGCTTAATTTGTGCAAGAGCATGCAATACAACCTTGACACAGTACCAGCTGCTGGCAACTCATGTACCAACCGTCTGGGCAATTGATCAGTACCGCGTCTGCCAAGAGGTAAGGGTTTTCAAGCCTATTAAATATGGATGTCCTAAATATGTATTTATGTATTAAAAATGTTTGTATCGCTGTTCAACTCCATTCTCATCAAAGTGTGGTAATTGGCGCCTCAGAAATACATTTGCAAAAGATTATAAGGTATTCACCATCTCTCTAGGGTGTTCCATTACACAGTTTGTGGCAAGAAGGGATTGTTCTGAAGTTGCATAATATGCCTAAATAGTAAGAAATACAACGCTTAGGACAATATTGTGATAGAGTATGTGATGAAACATGTCATCATACCTTTTAACAAAGAAAAGTGCCAATTACCTGCAGTGAACATTTTAACTGAGGGGAAGAAAACATGACTTCTATTCTGTTCTAGGTCCTTGAACGTTCACGGGATGTTGTTGATGAAGTAAGTGTTTCCCTCAGGCTCTGGGATACATTCGGTGACCACCACAAAGACAGACGTTTTGCTTATGGAAGGTAAATTGATGAAAGTCTAACTTTTAAATAAAACATGCAATGAAATTTAGCACAGGGGAATTTGCAGGCCTTAATTTTGAACCATGAAGCCTTAAAACAATCAAGGGTAATCATATCCTACCTACTACAAGGAGGATTATCTACTGCAATGATTTAAAAGATACAAATACTTATAAGGGAACATAGTTTTCCTATGCAGCATTCTTGACCAAATAATTAAGCCCTGTTGACAAATGTTGTCCAGTTAGAAAATAGAGCATTCACAAAATCAGGCTGCACTGGTATAAAAATGGAGGTCAGTATTTCTTACCTGAATAAACACCATGAAGTGACCATGAAATGTAATCAGTTCATTTATTGCTGACCTAATCCACAGATGCATTGGAAAGCAATCTATTCTTACAATAATGTATTATAAAATAAATAAGTGTTCTGATTGGTTTGATGGGTAATTCTCTTAGGGTTAGAAAAAGCACATTGCAATAAATGACAGTGTCTACCCTGTTGATTTAGGTGGGGGGGGAACAAGAAAAGAAGGGAAGGGTTTTCTTAATATAAGTAAGTTCTAATAGCAGCTGAAATTGTGTGGTTTAGTGGGAGGTGGATCTGTCCCTGTCTTGGTTTAAACAGAAACTGCTGAATAACAGACTATTTGTTATAATATAATGCAGGAGTCTGCAGCCTGTGGGCTGCAGGCCAGTTCACCCTGTGAAAACACTGGATCTGGCCTGCGGCAGCCCAGGAAATCAGCAGCACGTTCCAACCATAGCAGCAGTAGAGGCATCCTCAAGTCCTAGCTCCTGATGTATTTGATTTAGTCACTCTGCTACAGTAGAGGCAGCATCCCCTGGGTCTAGCACCTGCCATCTTGTATCTGTTCCCTTCAGAGTGTCTGTGGATCACTGGGGAGGTGCAGGATTGTGGCCTGCAGTGGGACATGGAGCATAGGCAGCAGCCAGCAGTATCAGCAGGTTACCCACCTATCATTATGTATTCCAGTTACCTGAAGTTATTGAAATTGAACCTCATAAACTTTTTCAGGATTGACATACGTGCTGGGTCATTTCTTGCATTATATTTTTCCTTCTGGAACTTCTTTTCTCTTTTCCATGTCATATCTGTTCCAGTCTTAGCTGATCATTTTTGCATACACCCTTTGTTTGCTCCAGCTGAGAGTATTGTTTGTACCTGTGCCAACTTTGCATGGTCTGTCTCTAAAACATTTTTCTTGGGAGGCTCTCTGTGCATATGAATAGGATAGGGTTGTCTGAGTCAGTATTAGGCATGTAAATATCATTTAAAAATTATTTGTTTACCCTCCTCCAATTCTGTCAGTTAAATGGTTACCCAATGACACAGCAGCTCAGACATGGCTGCTACTGTGAGCCACTCCAGGGTCCCTTTGACATGTGGGAGCGGAGGTAGCTGCCAAGCCCAGCAAGACAGTACAGCTCAGGCGAAGTCCCCTGCTAAGAGGCAGGGAGCACCTGTGAAGGAGTAGCTAATTAATTAATTGATGAGTCATTAGGCTGCCTGCTATTTTCTTCTTTAACTTCATAGGCTGTGGGTATAGGCAGTCTTCAGTTTACAACTTTTCGAGTTGCAATGAACATCACTTACAACGTTTATAAATTGACACCTTATTTGGACATTCCTACATGGGTTTCATCTTTATGGCAGTGGATACTGTGTGCTGGTAAGTGGTGGAAAGGGATGGGGGAGGGAAGGAGTATGGGAAGGCAGATCAACACCCCCTGCATTGAGGGAGGGACTGGGACTGGGACAAGTGCTGCTCAGCTGGGGTCAGGCAGGTGCAGGAACAGGGGAGCGAAGGCTCCCACTGCTGTGCACTGCTCATCTGGCAGCTCAACTGGCATTTCCTGCTGCTACTCCCCCTGCTGGTCCAGGAGGGCATGGCGGGGGTGCTCTTGGATCTGCACAGGGAGGGGTAGGCAGGGCCAGGGCTGCACTGGGCTGAGCTCCAGGTGGGCGGTGGGGGCTACAGTGAATTTTTGGGTAGCTGCAGCCCCCTTGTAGCCCCACTCTGCTGTCCACCCCGCTCCTCCCAGGTCCAGGGGCACATGCCTTCCTGCCACTTGCCCGCCCAGGGCAGGATGGGCACAGGGCAGAGCTGCTGCACTGCCTCCAGACAAGCAGTGTGCAGCGGTGGAAGCCACCCCCTGGACAACCCATGGCTTTGAGGGCATGGGGGAGCGTGTATCCCTAGATCGGGGCAGGCAGTGGGGTGGGAGCTATGGGGGGCTGCAGCCACCCAAAAATTCACCATAGCCCCCACTGCCCACCCAGAGCACATCCCCAGCCCCGCCCACCCCACCCCACCCCGCGC